AAATAAGTTTGCCCTTTATATATCATATACGAAATGTATTCTAAGGAGATTACATCAAATGTATTGGCTCTTAGGGCACATTTCTAACACGTCTACCACTGTAAAGTTCCAGTATAGTAATAACAGTGCTTGTTTGCTATGAAATCCTATTTCTAATGCACGTCTACCAGTGTTATTACCACATACTGGAACTATACAGTGGTAGACTGTCTACCACTGTAAAGTTCCAGTATAGGGTATTAATACTGCTTGTTTCCTCTGAAATCCTATTTGTAATGCATGTCTACCACTGTATAGTTCCAGTATGTGGTAATAACACTGGTAGACGTGCATTAGAAATAGGATTTCATAGCAAACAAGCTGTGTTATTACCCTATACTGGAACTTTACAGTGGTAGACATGCATCAGAAATAGGATTTCAGAGGAAACAAGCAGTGTTATTACCCTATATTGGAACTTTACAGCCATTAATCAGAATGATAGTAAACTAGCGACTAAAATACTGATAGTAAGCAGTCAGTGCAATAGTGAAATCCAATATAGTTTCAAGATTTTGTCCTTGATTCGAATCTAAAATACTGTTATTACCCTAGACTGGAACTCTATAGCAATTAATCAAAATTACAGTATAGGTTTGGTTTGTAAATGTCTTACCTTTGAAGCGTTTTCTTGTTGAAATTGTTCTCTGAAATTTTGTCTTGGTTTTGTAGGTGGAGGTCAGTGTGTGGTGTTTGTTTGAAAGTAGATCAAGCTTGGTGGTGGTTATGAAGTTTCGGTTTCGAGAGATAAAGAAGACGCTTTGTTGAAGACGGTGACTGAAGGGATGTTTGGCAGAGATGGTTAATTGAAGTCGCGGGCTGGAAGTTACGGTTTTGTTTTCCATTTTTTTGAACGAAATTACTGTTTTCGAGATGGTAAAATCTTTGGGCTTTTTTATAAATTTGGGTTGGGGTTGTTTTGGGTGCTTTTTGAGTTTTTTTTTCTGTTGGGCTTGATAGTGGCAGTGCTTGTAATTTATTGGAACTTCAACACTAATTTGTTATTTAATAAATGGGTTTTGGGTGTGTTTATAAAGTGTTTTTTATATGGAGTTTTTTTATAATTTCAGCTCCCATTTTGGGTATATTAGTGAAGCTCCCAACTATTATATCAACCAGTAACTCATAGTTGAAAAAAAAATTTGTTACCAAATAAGACATTTTGGATGGGTAAAATCAAAAGCTTCTAACATAAAGGAGCTTCCAAGCAATTTCTCTTGGGCCCAAAAAAACAGGCCTTTTCACTTGAAGTCCTCTTTCTGGGAATTTTCTGCTCATTTGGACAAGTGCTGGGGCCCGTCGACTCACAGCCGTACTTGCTTGGATCCGTATATACAAGAGTCCACGATGAACAATTTTAATTTAACCCCTAGTGAGTGAGTGACTGAGAGATGAGAAAACTGTGATACAAGAACTTCCCATTACGCGGTCTCTGTGATTCTCTCTCTCAATTATTTACGGTGATAAAAACCTTTGAAATAAATGAGTGGCCTTGTTTCCTTTGCTCTGTCCCAAGGTGCTATATATAGCAGAGCGTTACAGGCTCAGAGCCCATACCCATTCATCCATCTCCTCTGAACCCACTTTGCCTCTCATTCTCTTCTTCTTAGCTTCTCAAGTTTCAAAGGACCAAACTTTGCTCTTTTAAGGTAAAAATCTCAACTGGGTTTTCCCGGAATCTCTCACCTACTCTCTTCTCCGTGCTCTTTCATGTTCGTTCCAGTTTTCATTTCCTCATACTTATATTCAGGGTTTAATTTGTAACATTTGATGGGTTTGTTTTGAATTACTTGTATAACGGCTGTTGTGAATGTGCTTGATTGATATAGCAGGGTTTTATCGGGTTGTGTGCTAAAATTTCGTTCCGTTTTTTACACTGAGATGGGTGCTTGATTTTAGCACTCTTGAAGATTTATTTGTTTTTCTTTGTAACTTTGTTATATCTTCCATTGGGTGTATGTAGTTTAAATTTTTGTGATAAATTATAATTTCATGTTTGTTATACTTTCTTACATGTTAATTTAGATGTTTTGGTGGTAATTTCCTCCTGCCTATTAAAAGAGCTTTACGTACTGTGTTAAATTACTTTACTCTTTTTCCAGTTTTTCTATACTTCTCTTTCAGGGGTAATTTTTTTCATCATTTTTAAAGTTCTGTGCAATATCTAGTCAGTGGATGTGGGTTTTAATTTGATGATTTTGAGTGTGACATAAATGCAAGCGCTGTGATTAAGTAGCAGTTCTGTCGGTTAGTGATCCTAATTTGTACTTTTGGGTTTTGTTGTTTTCCTGGAGGATGTATGTTACTTGAGTTGGGTTCCTTTTCCTTTAATCATTGTTAGTTTAGTAGTGATAACTTTTTTGAGCTTTGTATAGCAAAGCTAGTAAACTGATCCGTAATTGATTGTAAATTGTAATACCAAAGTCTTCATTTTTTCCATTGAATCTAATCTTGCAGAATGGGGAGTACTGGTGGACATGACTACGGTGCATACACCTATGAGAACCTCGAGAGGGAACCTTATTGGCCTTCAGAAAAGCTTCGAATTTCCATTACTGGGGCAGGTGGCTTTATCGCCTCACACATTGCTCGGAGATTGAAGAATGAGGGCCATTACATTATTGCTTCTGATTGGAAGAAGAACGAGCACATGACTGAGGACATGTTCTGTCATGAATTCCATCTCGTTGACCTTAGGGTCATGGATAATTGCTTGAAGGTTACCAAGAATGTTGACCATGTGTTCAATCTCGCTGCCGATATGGGTGGGATGGGCTTCATCCAGTCCAACCATTCTGTCATTTTTTACAATAATACTATGATTAGCTTCAACATGGTGGAAGCTGGTAGAATCAATGGAGTTAAGAGGTTTGATGTCCTCAACTTTGTACATTTTATCCTTGGTTGAAAATTTTAGTACCATTTGGCTGAGATGTATGAATTGGTAATGTTTAAGTTGATAATTGAGACACTGCCTTAAAATGCTGTGAAGATATACTCAAATCATATGTTCATGCAGGTTTTTCTATGCTTCTAGTGCTTGCATTTACCCTGAGTTTAAGCAGCTGGAAACCAATGTGAGCTTGAAGGAGTCTGATGCATGGCCTGCAGAGGTATGCTTCTTAATGCTTATGATTTTGGACTCTAGTTTGAACTTATTTAATGAATTTTGTCTTTTCACCTTTATTTGTAGCCTCAAGATGCCTATGGCTTAGAGAAGCTCGCAACCGAGGAGTTGTGCAAGCACTACACAAAAGACTTTGGAATTGAGTGTCGTATTGGAAGGTTCCATAACATTTATGGTCCTTTTGGAACCTGGAAAGGTGACCTCTTAATTGCAGTGATAACTGACATGTATGCATAATTTTCTTGATTTGTAGCCTAATTTTGTTGCTTCCTCCTATATTTTGTATAGGTGGGAGGGAGAAGGCTCCTGCTGCTTTTTGCAGAAAGACTCTCACTTCCACTGATAAGTTTGAGATGTGGGGAGATGGACTTCAGACTCGATCCTTCACCTTCATTGATGAATGTGTAGAAGGTGTACTTCGGTAAGCATTTTTTGTTTTGGAAAGAAAAAAAAAACTCAAAACTTTTACTAGCTGAAACTCACAATGTTTGCGTTTTGAAGCTGCAAAATACTTGGTCTTCATGGATCTGTTTTTTAGATCAGTTGTTTCTGTTTTGACAAGGTTTTCCTGAGTCTAGTTTAGTTGATTATGTTAGAATCAGCAAAATTAAACCTTTACGGGGTTACTTGAATGTGAATCTTTGCACTAACATTTAAATTATTGTTGAAGTTCTGTGGATTAGGAGGGCGTTTCCCACTCCAGTACCTGTATGAGAATGGGAGATATGAACAAACAAATATCTTACATGTTTGAAAAACATTTGTTATTGAAGGGAAAGGAATTAATCTACTTAATGAAGAAAGAAAAAACTTGTGTGTAATTTGTTTGGTTCATCTCTGGGAAAACGTACAATACCCTATACTAGATTATGGCTCTGATACAGCAACTTTTATTGAATATAAACTGTGTTTTACATTTTGCTTGAAATTCCCCTTAAAGTGTCCATATTATTCATGACTAGGCATATTTCACGCATTTTTTAAATTATCACTATTGTTTTTAGGTTGACAAAGTCAGACTTCCGTGAGCCAGTGAATATTGGAAGTGACGAGATGGTCAGCATGAATGAGATGGCGGAGATAGTTCTTAGCTTTGAGGACAAGAAACTGCCTATCCAGCACATTCCTGGGCCAGAGGGTGTTCGTGGTCGTAACTCAGACAACACACTGATTAAAGAGAAACTTGGCTGGGCTCCCACCATGAGGTTGAAGGTAAATATAGAATGAGATTATGTGACATCTGATGTATCCATTCTGCAGTTTCTGAACACACCAAGTTTCGTTTAAAGTTGGGGGTGATTTGAACTATGCCTTAGCTTGTGTTGATATTGCTCCCTGTTTCTAATTTGAATTCACATTCTTTTCGCTTATAGGATGGGCTGAGAATTACATACTTCTGGATAAAGGAACAGATTGAGAAAGAAAAGGCACAAGGTACTGACCTGTCGATTTATGGGTCATCTAAGGTGGTGGGAACCCAAGCCCCAGTTCAACTTGGTTCGCTTCGTGCTGCTGATGGCAAAGAATGAAGTGTTTGAAGACAGAGAGGTCTGGTAAAGCCAGTATTTAGTAGATCTGGTTATGGTATTGTGGCGCATAGTAATGTATCTATGTGCATGGACAATAAGCAGGGAAGCTTTAATTCCCCCTTGTATATCTAGCCTGTTAGAGTAATTTGCTGCCTCAGAATATTCCCTTTAAGTTATATTTTGTTTCCCCATCTGAAGCATTGCTCAGTATTATGTCTTATTTCCTTTACAAGATTGAATTTTGGTTCAATGCCATGACCTTGTTGAGATTGGTCGCTTTTAGACGTGGTATCTGCAATCTGCATGTCTGAATTATGATGGCAAAGGGGTTGCCTGAATATTATTGGACAACTCAAATGTTTATGCTGTTTTGTGTTTGCAAAATATGATGTGGTATTTCTACTGAGGTGGGAAGATAATTTCCCCGCTTTTGAGTCCAGCTCTCTCTTGTGGTCCTTGTAAGGTGACCACATAAGCTGTCATAATCTTACCTCACCTTTTTTCAGAACTTTAAAATCCAAACGCCTATCACACACAACAATCAATTTTCTCAACTGCCATTTCTGACCGTAATTCGCAATCCCTTTCCTTGCAATGGATATTCTCTAAGGATATTATTCATTGACCAATTTTCTTTTTATACAACTAAAATTATTTCAAGTTAATTTAGGGCCCCTTTGATAACCATTTCAATTTTAGTTTTTAGTTTTCACTTTTTATGGTAGAGTATAGAGGAAAATGAAAATGAAAATGGGAGTGAGGATGAGATTGAGAGAGAGGATGGGAGGGAAGAGTAACAAAAGTGAAAATAAAAAACAATTTCAAATAGATTTTAGTTTTTAGTTTTTGTTTTCACTTTTGTTATCCCTTCCTCCCTCCTCCCATCTCATCTTCCCTCTCAATCTCATCTTTTCTCTCATTCTCCCTCTTTTTTCTCTATACTTTAACACAAAAAATGAAAAATGAAAACTAAAAACTAAAATTGAAATGATTATCAAATGAGCTTTTAAGTTCTTTGTGCAAGGGATTGGACACAATGTCTTGATTAACTGGCCTTTGATCCTTTGAAGTTATAAAGGAAAAGAATGTATATATATTCAATCGTGTCAATTTGGCAACTTGTAGATCACTGATAATTGATGAGATTTAAGGAAGGGACAGTGGATCCCGTGGCTAAAAATGGAAGACAGCAACGTGGCTGAAGTTTTAGTGTTAAGACTCACCAAGAAAACAAAGGGATCCCATCTTGTTACGTGGATGTCCAAAAAGTACATGTTTTTTAACTTTCCTTTCATGCCCATCTTTACAGAAAACGACGTTTCCCAATTAGCTGATTTGGATCGATAAAATCCATCAAACATTTATCACATATTGCAATTTCACATCGGCTGTGCTTCCTTCCCGTACCACATTTCCATTAAGCACATCTGTGTCGGTCACATGTTGCGCTATTTTGAAATTCCTTTAAGCCAAAAGCACTTGTGAAAAGAGCACTTCCACTCATTTGCCATGACAAAGGGCAAGAGTAAGGCAAGGCTGTTACTATTCATGTAAATAGTGGCAATCCTTGCAAAAGGTTTGTTGTGTTTCCACCCATTATCATGGCAATAACTAACTATACACATGAGATATGATGAGATGAATTTATATAGAGTTTTGGTGTAAAAAGTGAAGAATATAACTAAGTATTTATTTTTAAAAAAATTGAAACTTTTGGTATTATTTTAGATTTTTTTTTGTTTTTTGTTGTTGCTGACATCAGCAGCCCTCAGACAACAGCTCGGGCTGTTCTTGCCTTCGGGCCTGCCAGGGTTGGTGGAGCCCACAACTTGCCTGGGCTGTTTTGTAGCGCTAGATACAGATTGAAGGGCCTAGGCCCCCTGCTGCCCGGGCTGGGGGGCTGCGGTGGAATTGCTCCTAGTACAATTATTCTAGCCCAAGTCACAAAAAACTAATGCCAATGAACACAACACAATGCCGTGAAACTTGAAAGCTTCTATCTGCCTTGTATACTTTTTATAATCGATTGTTACTCAGCCAATCAAAGGCCTAAAAGTAGTGTAAAATATCACCTTAAACCATGCTATCAATTCAACGATTCTAGCACACACAGATATTACAAAATGTAATTTTGTTCGTATTTGGCTGTATGGATTGGGGGAAATGACATGTAATCAAATAATCCAAAATGGTTTATCTGCACAAACAAGCAGCTCTGACAGTTGAGCTTCTAGCTGCTCAAATATCATGAAAAACAGGGCTTGCTTCTAGCTGCTCTGCAAATTTCTCCAGGATCTGCTTCACAAGATTTCCAAATTTATCCTCACCTGCTTCCTCTAAATCAGCAAACACTGCATCATACAAAAGGGCCACTGTCTCGTTCGCTTCGGATGGTGGCAAGCCCAACTCTGTCCCATTTTTTTCAAGAAAACTCCTGATTCTTTCTGCATTCCCCGAGCCATCCTTTCCTTGGTGCTTGTCTTCCAATATCTTCTCTACGATAATGTTCAATTGCTTCTCATCTGCCAAAAGCTGCATAGTTTTCAGGAGTTTGTCAGACTTTGTTGAAAAGCATTCACATAACATAAATATAGGCTTGTGCCAACAGTGACTAAAATTCTTGAACTTCCGAAACCAATAAATGGTTCCGAGACAGGCATATCCAAACAGGGTTGCAATGCTAGGTCAACCTAATTACCAGTGTTAAAGCAAGTTTCTTTTAGTTCTCCAAATAACAGGGGGGTAAATATCAATACTATATTTGCCACTAAGATAAAGGGTACGGGTTATGGAAGAACAGAACTAGCAGCATAAGTAGCTCAAGATAGTATTGGTCAATGAAGAAGAGTCAAGAATACTAGTTACTCAGTTCCCATATAGCAAGTAGAGATCAAGCTTCCTAAACGATAAATTAAGGAATATTCAACCAAATGAAGAACAGTTCATAAAAGAACTAAAATAAAAGATGGGGGAAGAGGAACTACCTTTCTTAGCTTGGAACCATTGACAATCTTGATGTTCTGGATAAAAACAAAATGCTTTTTTGCCAGGGCCTCTGATAGTTCTTGTAGGACAGGCTGGAGTAATTCAGCAAATTGTGCTTGGCCCAGTTCTTCTTCCCCATCAGCTTCGTGTTTCTTCAAGATATCACTTAGAGGAAGAAATTCTGTTAAATTGCACCATTTTAATTATTATCAACTCTACAACTACGAACATCAAATATGGAATAGACGGTTTATAAATTCTACAGACTGGATTAAGTACTTCATGACAAGCTAGATCTCAACATATGCACAAATTAATAGCGCAAAAGACAAGCTAAATCATTATAAGTGAAACTTTGTACTAAATCTTCATTTGCAAAACACAAAATATGAATAATCTCAAAGTATTTTAGGCATAGATTAAACAATTTGAGGAAAATGAGATGGGAAATCTAGGCACAAAGCTTAAGAGGATTTCCGTCCTCATTCCCCTGATGTGACTACTGTAATCAAAGTCCTCATTCCCCTTAGGAGAAATCTAGTATGATAAGGGTCTACAGTATTCAAAGTCCAAAATAAGCTTCCTCTCTCTCTCTTGCAGGTTTAGGGTTCATGCAAAGTCTCAAAGTCCACATCAGAATACACAAGATACACTCTAGCACTCAGAATATAACAGTAAAACTAAAGTATGAGAAGGTGAGCAATAACAAACTTAAACCAAACAAAGAGGATGCTAGAAAGTATTAATCGCATGTTCAAAATAAATGGATACAGTCAATTTACAAATCTGACTCATGAGGATCGAAATAGTCTGGTCTAAATTTGATCCTCCCTACTAGTAGGCCATCCATGGACCCAAGAAGGTGCAGTCTTTTTCTTCTTTTCTTTATAGTTTAAAAAAGTGCTCGAGTCATACGAGAAATTTTTTTAGAGAACCAACCAAATATAACAGAACTTTAATTAGTTTCTGTGCAGGTTCAATTATTCATTTACAGATAACAAATATTTTGAATAATCTTAAAATTAATAGCGAAAGCGAAGAATTCGATATGAACCTGAAATGGGAGGAACGCCCATCTCAACTCCCATGTGAACAAGTGCATTCCGGATCTCATTCTTGTTGATCTTTCCTGTGTCTTCTACATCCAGATCAGTGAACAGATTCTCTGCTAGCATTGCAAAATCATCCTCATCCTCTAAAAACAGTCGAAGAGTGTATCCATCCAAGACAGATATGACAAGTGGATCATCTGCAGTGTGAAGACAGAATTTCAAGCATAAGCATGCATTATTTTCATAATCAAATTTTGAAATATTTCAGTTCATCATATTTCTAAAAATAGAACAACATCTCAATCTCCAACTTCCATAGTCCAAATGCTTGTTGGCTAACTCAAAATTCTCCAAAACCAATTTCTGTTGATGCCAGGCACTTTCTAAACAGCTGATTTCCTAATCTCAGTCAGATATAATTTGTTCTTCTTGCTGACAGAATGAGAGTGAATATAGGAGAAATCAGTTCTTAGATCCTAGATCACATAAGACATCTAAGACTCAAGCTTTTCAATTTCTTTCCTCCACTTTTCCTAATCTTTTCAGCAACCAAACAAAGCAAAAAAATAAAAACCTCATACACGGATGCCAAAATCCACTAACACATAAGCACATTCATGCTCTTAATTCATCGGCGACGAGAACTTGATCATAAACTCGCTTTCGGAACTATAACATAACATATCACACAATGTATATAAATATCATATATTATAGGTATGCAAGCAGCACCTTTTAATTCATCGGCGATCGCTGTGATGTAGTCCGTGATCACCTTCAGAGCCTGCTCGCGATCTAGCTCCTTGAGGCGGAAAACGTCGTCGTCTTGAAGGCTGATGCGTTTCAGAGCAGAGGACTTGAGGCTCTGAGGCAAGGAGAGGCCGAAGAGAGACGAGGAGGCTTTGGAGTCGGCGAGGTCGAGGACCTGAGCTCCCGTGAGGCTGACCTCAGCTTCCGGCAGAGAAAGGTCGATGGCTCTCAGGTGGTTCCCGTCGAGGACCGTTAAAGCTCCGTCCGACATTTTCAGTTTTGAGAGAGAGAGAGAGAGAGAGAGAGAGATGACTTTGAAATTTTGATGTTTGGGATGGGAGTTTACGCAGTGGACTTGGAATTGAAATGGTCTGGTCTGGGAGCTGTTGGTTTTGTCTCTCATTTTTATTTGTCCTTGATGTCCGAAAATGCAACTTTAGCTCTGGCACCTCGGTTTTTAGGTTAATTACAGAAAACGTCAAACACTGTTTTATTTTATTATTCAAAATAAACAACTTTTTGTTTGATATTTTGTTTTTATTAAATAATTTTGCTCTTATTATATTAATTTCTTTTTTATTTAGTATAATTTAAGTAAGAGCATAATTGGTATTTTGTCAAAAGTGATTGATCAAGAGAAATTGTAAATAGACAAAAATTTAGGCCTATTTTATTTTCTATCATAATTATCAATTTGGCTCATTTTGGAAGGAAGACTTAAAGTTGACTAGCTTTTTTTTGTTTTTTGTTTTTGTTTTTTAAACCAGAACCAGAATCATCAATGCAGACCAACTTTGTAATTTAGACCCAAAAAAAGGACCAAGTTTGTAATTAGTCTTGGAGACAAAGCCCACGCTCGTTTTCAGAAATAAAGCATATCTCTCGAAGACAGGCCCACTTGCAAAATTCAATTGTTTCTTTGGACTTTCTATATACATATACTAAGCCCACATCTCTTCTTCAGTGCCCTTTTGTCCTCTTTTGTCTTTTTCGAAACCCCACAGAATAACAAAAGCAACGGTTCTTTCTTCTTTAAACCTTTTCTGGGTCGAAGTTGTTTCGAATTCTGTTGATGATCCTACTTGAACTAAGAAACCTACTTGAATTATGAAGACGTAGTAAGCAAGAAAGGAAGAAAGATTAAGGTAAATAACTAGCCTACTTGAATTAGGAACTCTCCACTGCCACTTTCCTATATAAATTATAACCTGCACGTGATTCTTAATAAACTATCTAATCAGTCAGCCCTTCCTTCGAGTTCGAGTTCGAGTTCAAGTTCAACTTCAACTTCATCAAAGAAGAGAAACAATCAAATTCAATGGGGAAAAAAGGAGGAACTAAGAGGAAGGCCAGCCACATAGAGATGGAAGAGACCACCCACCTGAACAAGGCGTCTAAGCAAGACACCGCTCGGCCATTGCCAAAGCGGCGGCGGCTCAAGAAGAAGCCCTGCAACTCCGATGAGCCCCGCAACCTGAAGGATCTATGGAAGGCTGCCTTTCCTGTTTGTACTTCATGGTATCACGTGGAATCTGTCTACAACGAATTCAAGTGGGATTTCTCCCATCTTGAACAAGCATTCCAAGAGGGAGGAAAGCTGCATCATCATGAGATCAATGCCAACAACAACAAATTCTATCTGTTCGGAACAACCGAAATTCATAAACAAGATGTCGGAGAATATGTTTTGATCCCTGTGGTGGTAGCCATTGTATCAGCTTCCCCGCCTTGCCATCAACTAGGCTTTGACGCAACTGATTATGACATGCCGGGAGCCAACGAACGAGTTATAATTCCAATGAAAAAGCTCAAGATGGACTGGATCCCCTACATTCCTGTCCACAAGAGACAGGCCAAAGTTGAGAGACTCATGAAGAGATCTCCTCAGATATTTGTGTTAGGCTGCACTCAGAGAAAGGTTGCTTTAGAACACATCAACTCAGACCGTTGCCTCAAAATTCAATACTCGGTGCCTTGTTTACATGATCATCATGATGAGAATGAGGTTGATAAGACTAATACTAGACCGTTGAGTCCACTGAGGGAGTTCCTCCTTGAGCAGGTGATACAAGAAGATGAATTTTTACCTCAAGAAAGAAAGGATTTCCTGATGGGGTATGTCAGGGAGCAACTCTTTGAAGCAAAGAGAGCAGCTAATAAAAAAACGAGGATTTACAAGTTCTACCCCCTACCAACACCGCACACTCCTCCCCTTAGGCACAAGTTTGCAGGCATCAACAACTTTTGCCCGGACGCTGATGAGGTTCTGTGATGGATGATCATAAGTCCATCAGTGATGTATATACCACAAACAATTGAAGATATATTGCTAAATTTGGTTTTTCACATGTATGTATGCACTCTAGATTCATATTCTATTATTTATTTGTGTGTAGTTTGAATGAGAAACAAGTAAGTTTTGAAGACAACACAAGAGAGTCCAATTTAATCCCTTTTCACATTAGCAACACATAAATTCATTCATTCAATCAAATCACTGATTTTAAGGAAGAGAATACAATAAATAAAATCAAATGCGTGCGTGAATGTAGGGACAAGGATGTTCCAAGAGTCATGGTCACCAAGGTGGCTCAATTCTTTCCCACTACACTCACGACTTTGAAACCAATTTCTAGAAATACTAGCTGACTAAAGACGACATTCATATCAAACAAAAAGGATAAATAAAATGCTTCTTTGACTATATATATTCTAACTTAAAGAACGGACAACGTTTACCCTTTACTTAAGATACAGAGCATATATATATATATATAATATATGTCTCATTTCTGTGTAACTGTGTGCAAGCACAAAAGGTGGTTAACTTGGAAATTGAGATTAACTTCTTTGACTATATATATTCTAACTTAAAGAACGGACAACGTTTACCCTTTACTTAAGATACAGAGCATATATATATATATAATATATGTCTCATTTCTGTGTAACTGTGTGCAAGCACAAAAGGTGGTTAACTTGGAAATTGAGATTATAATCAAACACAGCATGGGAGAGGTCTTAACTGAACAACAGATTGCTGAGTTTCAGGAAGCTTTCTGTCTCCTTGACATGGATGGAGATGGTAATTAGTCTCTTGTTAATTATTAATTTAGTTTATGAATATTTAGCCAAATATTTTATATCATAGCTAGAGAGAGTAGGATCTGCTTGCTTGCTTGCTTTTGCACAAGTGTTTCTTAAGAAATCAAATGATTTACATGAACAGCTATTAGAGCTATTGTTTCTGTTAGTTTCTAGATATATACTCTGCAGCTAGCTCAGCTCAGCTCAGCTCAGACAGTCAATGCTTTGCTGCTATGGTAGCTTGATAATAACTGTCTGAAGGTGTGGCTTAATTTACTGGCATTTTCATTGTTGTTGCAATTTCTGTTTCATGTGTGTGTGTGTGTCCTTTGATTTCCATACTTAATTACCTTGATTTTATTCATGTTCATGTGTTTTATTTGGTTTATTTCTTTCAAAATTTGTTAGGCTGCATTACCATTGAAGAACTGGGGACTGCGCTCAAATCATTGGATCAGCATCCTACGGAAGAAGAGCTGCAGAACATGATAAGCGAAATCGATGCTGATGGGAACGGAACCGTAGAGTTTGGGGAGTTCTTGCATCTCATGGCAAGAAAAATTAAGGTAAAATTAATTACCTAACAGTAATCTTTTGACAGCAAAACAAAGAATTAACTGATCCATGTTTTAATTAATGTGGTGATTACATAGGAAAATGAGGCGGATGCAGAATTGAGAGAAGCTTTCAAAGTTTTTGACAAGGATCAGGATGGCTACATTTCACCTAATGAGGTTGAATAATTCTTCATCCCAATAATATATTCCACATCCATTATTTTTAGAAAAAATAAAAAAAGAAGAAGAATTTATTTAACGCCGCTTAGCTAATGAGACTCTGCCAACAAACGAAGACCAAAGTTCAAACAATCCAAGAAGTCCTGATTTTAATCTTGACTTTGCTTCTAATATATAGTTTTTTCTTTGTTCTGCTGCATGGGAATGGTTGGATGGTTGCAGTTGAGGCATGTGATGATTAATCTTGGAGAAAGACTGACTGATGAAGAGGTAGAGCAAATGATCAGAGAAGCAGATTTGGATGGTGATGGCTTAGTCAATTATGATGAATTTGTTAGAATGATGTTAGCATTTTGATTTTGATCCATCGCCATCTGATTCTAAACCACACATATATTGATATCAGTGCATGAGTTGGTCAAATAATAAAGTGACGTCGTTTTGATTTTTGTACATTTTCGGTTTCTATTTGTACTGGGCCTTGCTCTTATAAGAGTCCATTTCTATTCATCTATTTCCCCAATTTAATTTCGAGGAATCTTTAATTCTATGCACCTTTTTCTTTCTTTCTTTCTTTTTCTCATCAACGTCTATGTGCATCTTTTGAGGCAGCAAAGTAATAAAGACCCTTGAATTTTTTGAGGTCCATGCGTTGTACTTTTGTGAGAGAAACTAATCATAAGCAAGCATCATGGAATAATGGGTTCATTTTTCATTGGAAACTTTACCCTTGTATAAAATGTGAGAGATCTGCTTCATTACGGTCTTATACTTGGGTGGATTGATAACACCATACTCGTATCATACGTGTAAATAAAACCATCGCATAAGTATATTTCATTTCATCAATGGTCCTAGGCCTACCTAAACCAGCAGCCGAACCAGACACATTGATCCTCAATTGAAGTGTGGATTGAAAAAATAGTGATCAGAATGAGAAACTGAGAAATGGGTTTTATGTTGGGCAGTGGGAAAGTCCCAATTATAGCATGTAACAGACTCTAGCAAGCAAAGGTACCAACAAGTCGTGGTTGTTGTTGAGGTATTAATACAAAGGAAAACCCTGCACAGGGTTTGCAAGAAAGCAAATGGGTGACGTGGGTTGCACTCAACTCAATAACCATAAAGCTTGTATGGAGTGTAGCCAAATGGGGCTTCCAAACAAAACAAGGTGTACAACTCTAGATGTGCAAATATATATATATATATCAATCAAACTGGTTTCATGCAGTGCTGCAGTTTTTGCTTACATTATGAAACTTCCACGTATGCAAGACTCAGACTGAGAGAGAGAGAGAGAGAGAGAGTTTGGTAGCAGCTTAAATGTTATCCAGAAATTAAGATGCATGTTTTAGGCATTGGCGTAATAAGATGTCACACATTATACTGACCCGGAGATATAAATAAACGAAATAATCATGACCTGTTGTCTGATATTTTCTTATCAGCACACGTTAATATATATACCAAGGATCTTAATGGGATTTTAGGACCACATCAATCAATCAATCGATCACAGAAATTAAAGTTCAGAAATGCCAAACCGTTCCATGCATGCCTGCACCTTGAGATGTATGTGTTTGAACAACCCCAAAAACAGATTCTCTGATTCTTTTTTTTTAATCTTTTTCTTGTCCTCCTACCAGATCTGCAAATATGAAGCACCTCCCCCATATTACCTACTGTTGTTATAATAGAGGTCCTTGTCCATATATATCTTACCAGATCTGCTAAATATTGTTACTGTGGTCATGCAGTCTAATCTGGCGAATTCATACATACACTGTTACACAGAGAGAGAGAGAGAAAGAGAGAGATTAATTCCTCATCTCATCTATATGATTTTGGATTATAATTAATTGGTGATTTGAGAAGACTGAATCTCAATTCAATAATAAAAACTTATAGAAAAATAATATATGAAAATATCAGAACAGATGACTGAATCTCAATTCAATAATAAAAACTTACAGAAAAATAATATATGAAAAGATCAGAACAGATGAGTACAAAGGAATGCATATAGAAACTTGAATTAATAATTAATGGACACAAAACTGTACATGAAGGGAATATAACTAATTAAAAACACTTTTCCCAACGAACGAGGATGGATCTCAAAAGCACCAAACTGCATTGACACAGGGAAATTCTGTCACTCAAACCCCAAACATCAATATCTCTCTCGCTTGCTCATCAGATGGCGATGAGATCTCCACAGCCTAAGCCTAAGCCTAAGCCTAACCTAAGCCTAGCTATGTGCTAAAGCTCCCATAGGTTTCTCACTTTATCAATATAACATGCACAACGTCCAAAACATCAAAATACATACGGTATAGATATGCCATGAATAAAACGGTTGTGCACAGAAGCAAAATTGTGTGAGGTACCCAGATGAGCAAAGGAGAAAACTGTGATACAGATGTGCAAAAGTGAATTGATGGAAATTTTATGTATGAAATAGACAGACCTTTTCTAGCTAGGGTTGAAAACCCTAATGGGTTCTTGAAGAAATCCATGGCTAAGAATCTGGTGGATTAACAGTTGGGGGCTGATAAGGGGTCTACCGTGCTCCAGTCAACAGATGAAGCTACCACATGATCTAGCCTTTCTTATAAAAAAGAAAGCTCAGATCATGCTGGCAGCTTCAACAGTTGGAAGTGCACGACGACGTTTCACGCACCCTCATTCTTTCAAGCGAGTAGCTCCTCACCTCACTCAACCTCAACTATTAGTCTTTCTCCTTCTTCTAAGTTCTTCCTATTCTTCTTGTTCATCTTGGAGGAGGCTTCAGAGATAAGAAAAGATAAGAGGATATAAATAGAGCGAGAAGATGTTAAGGGGTCTTTAAGTCCTACTTCTTCCACGCAATCGACTTTTGCATCTTCCACTCTGTCCTTTTGTCTCATGTGAATCGGTCTTCAATTCCTACTTCTTCCAGTCCATGTTTTGCATCTTCCACTCCATCCTTTTTTGTCTCGTATGTATGGATGGTATAACTTAATAAGTAAGCTTATTAAACCTAATAAATCTAGCAATTAAACCTAATTAAGACTGAAATAGGACATGATTTGTAGCGTAACTGTTAATTTTGCACTATCACCATACGATAGTACAATATCTTATTTTGTTGAAAATTAATTATATAAAGCCGAAAAGGGTTGGTTGGATTGGTAATGATCGTTGTCTTCACTATTAAAGTAAGTTCGAGTCCACAATTCCTCTTGATGGAGCTAAGACTTACTTTCCATGGTATTAATTGTCATTCCATTGCATTATTTTCCATTGATTATACGAGAAATAATAGTAATGGGAATGGCTAGCTAGGTAATAAAGTACATAGACTAATGGGTGATTAGAGAGTAGAAAATTAAAGTGAGAAAATGAAGCGCGCACACACACACTAGGTGGTGTTAGCTAGCAAGTAGATGGAAAGTAAAAACAAGGGAAAAGATGAGAGGAGAGAAGCATGTGGCCCCAAAAACAAAAAATGAAATAGAATATTAATTGTCACCCCACGCCACCACATGCAGACAGGCCTTTGCGAGAGTTTCTATATCTTCTTAACTTAAGAGGGCTTTATAACTTTAGTTGGACGACCTTTTCATATTGCCTCTCTGAGCTTCTCTGTGTGTCCTCTCTCTCTCTCTCTCTCTCTCTCTCTCTCTCTCTCTCTCTCTCTCTCTCTCTCTCTCTCTCTCTCTCTCTCTCTCTCTCTCTCTCTCTCTCTCTCTCTCTCTCTCCCTGCCTGTGCCTGTGCTGTAATGTAAGCATCAAGCATGAACCAAAAAGAGTATAAAACACAGAGCAAAAGGGGGACCATTAGTTTTGCATGGCTCATCAGGGTCGCATAAGGTTCACACAAAAAGGAAAATAAGCTGGCATGGCATGACAGCAAAAATAAGAGCTTGTATATTTTCATGTGTTTTTTCTTTTGTCTCTGTTACCTATGTATCAAGACCTAGTAATTTGCTGCTACATATAGTCTGCATTCTTGTCACTTCCTAGATCTTATTTCATTTTTATTTTACTTATTTCGATCCCTGATGTTAACATTTGGCTTCTTTTTGGAAAGAAAACAAAAAAAAAGTGAAGCCACTCCATTTGGAAGTGATTTTCCAACTCACTGAATTAATTTCAAGCAAATAAAATCCAACCTTAACGGCTCATTGATATATATATAGAATAAGTGATAGTTATTATTAATGAACAAATAAAAGTACAAAGTACATGTAGTGTGAAATATAAATAAATCTTCACGAGTGATCAAATGCAATAATATGTTGAATTGATCTGGAAATAATCACACACAACTTAAAAATAACTAAAATCGTCGATTCAAATGACATGTACTTAGACTTCTAATACAGATCCGACATGCAATAGCAATAGCAGAAACGTCAAATTCATATCAATAGCCAATTTATTTTCATTAAGTTATTTTCCAATTTATTTCTTCATAAATATTACAGTTCGGGCGGTGGTCCAACTCTGTTTTCTGTACCACTCCCGTGCGCCACTGCTAGCTAACCCACACACCGTCGTGGTTCTCTTGGTCATTTTTTTTTTAATTATTTATTTTTTACCGAAACGTTTTGGTCACAAGGTCCTGAATGTAATATTTGGAGTTCTCATTCTCAACAAATAAAAACTCTGGAAAAATCTTTTTAATATTATTTTAAATAGAGAAAATGAAACAAAAATGCTCGGACCGGGAGAATTGAAACGAGTCACTACACAGTACATATGGGTATGGCATCGCAGTTATAAGAATGCATCGCTTGGCAATGTGCTAGGGTCAATTTCTTACAACAGCACTGCAACTCAACCACTAGTCGAACAAGGTTATTATATTCGTGCTTTCCGCTTAATTAGCTTTGGCTTTTTATTTTTAATAAAGTGCCTGCTTTGCAGACTTGGAAAGATGAAAAAAAAACTTGTATAAGACAAGGATAGCACCGTTTTGCTATTCCGATCAATCACAAATTAATATGTAAAAAAGTAATTACAAGTGACATACAGTGATTAGTTGAGGATAACACTATTCATCTAAGTGTTTTAGAATTCCAAATTTGCAATTTACTTTAACCCAACAACAAGGACATTTTAATAATTAATACCACTCGTATTCCAATTCCATATAATTCAGTAAACAACTTCAATAGAAATTCGGAATCTAACTCCCATAAATCCATATGATTTAGTAAACAACTTCAATAGGAATCCAGAATATAATTCTCCTTAATCCAACTCCTCCTCAATAATTCATCATCACTTCAATTCCTCATAATTCAATTACAAATTAGTAAACATATCAATAAATCAAGAATTCCTTTTCTTAATTGTTTAGTTTGTAAAATATGGCAATATTTGATGTTACAGCAGCAGCAGGTGTGAATGTCATGCCTGGAAATTACACTAGAATGGCCCTGTCCCTCGAGATGTGGGGCTATCAATCAATCATCAAGGAAGTTTGAATCACATTCTTCGATACTACAGATGTTTATTCGACCGCACACTCAAGGCCAGGGTAAAATTCCAATACTTACCATCACTGCAAATCAATTACGTGTCCCCGGTGTCAGTGCTCTTTACCTCTTCAGACCCAAAAACACTTGCCCCTTCCGACCAATAAAACAATGACTTGTAAAAACGTTATCATACATGTTATGTTATTATAAAACAATGACTTGTAAAAACGTTATCATACATGTTATGTTATTATATTATTGGCCGAAGATAGCACCACGAGAGTTTTTATAGGCATCCAATGAGACAATTGCCTAGAGAAAAGGTCCAATTGGCTACCTAGCTAGCTAGTCTCAACTCAACTATGTTCATGTAACGAATAAGTTTTCTGGAAACTCGGTTATGTTTCATTCATGGACTTTGATCATAGGAATCATATCATATCCACTGTTCAATGGATAAATTTTTTTTGTCAAGAACAAGGTTTTGTTTGCAAACACACCACCAATGAAAAATGGCAAAATTACAAACTAAGACGTACTAGTAGTATACCAAACTATTTTGGTGCTCCTTCATCTTTCTGGAAATGGAATGGAACTAAATAAATATGAAATGCAAAAGTAGTCTCCACTTATTTTATCATTTTTTTCCTTTTTCGATTGCAAGGGAAAAAAGGACCGAAACAATTAAATCCCTTTCCCTCAAAAAAGGAAAAAAAGAAAAAAAGCCTTTATCATCCCGATCACATTCATAACACAGTCCGGGGAGAGTCGAGTAAGTGAAAGCAGAAGCAAATGAAAACATCAAACATATAGAAACTCCAAATGCGCAACATTTTGTTAAGATTATAAAATTGGTTTTATTATTGAGTGAGAGCTGGACAACTTAATCTAAAATAAGGAGAGCGGGAGGAACACGTTGGGATTATTATGATATAACTTATGCAAAATGTGTGCCTCATGTTTTATTAAAAAAATGAAGTTGACATGTCAACTTCAAGAGTTTCATTATGAGATGCAATTTGGATGTTGGTCCTCAATGATTACCGATAAAGTCAATGACCCAGAAACAATACTAATGTTGACACAAAATAAAGAACATAACGACTAATTGTTTTGGCCGTCCTGAACCAGGCTGTTCTCTGAACCAAGTAGGGAGGAAAAAGAATTGAAGAAAAGCTGAAGCACAACAGAATGGCTGAGGAGCAGAGAGTTCAAATTCCTAGGGTGAAATTGGGAAGTCAGGGATTTGAGGTGAAACACATTTCAGATACTTGATAAGTTCTATGTGTGTTCAGCTAGTATTTCTTTATCAGTTTCCTTAGTTTATATGTGGTTTTCTGCATAATGCACACATCATATTTAGTGAAACTTGAAATCCCAAGGGTGTATCAAATCATATTGAGTTCAAAATCAGATACAGCAGAAGCTAGAGTATAGACAGAGCAACAATATAAGCACGGAAACTTGTTCTCATGAGGCATCAACAATCAACTTTTAGATTAATTCCAGCAGAAAAACAAGACTAAGCTTAATGATCTCTCATTTCATTTGGCTTGATAGAAACTAAACTAGCAAGGTCCTGCTCCTCTCCCACAGAGATTCCACTCATTCACAAAACATGGACATTTTCTCATCCTACATTTCATAGCTACAACATACTAAATAGAAAGTTTGCAACAGAAAAATTTCACTTCATTGTTCAAACACATAGAAATCCCATACACGTCAAATGAAAACATCTATTCAGTCTAAATCATAAGGGAAAGTAGGTTCATTTCACATTACTAAGCCAGCTACCTCATCACCCACAAACAAACATTCAGGATTTCACTCAAGAGTTCAAAACAAACAAAACTAAACATATAGGATAAAAGTACCGATCATCACTGTTGCTGTTGGTTCTGCGGGTTGGGTGGAGGAGGCGGCATGCCTGGACGAGGTGGTCCATACACAGGAACACCACCACCGGGGGGAGGAGGCATTCCAGGACGGGGCGGAGGCGGCGGTCCCCTCATCATCTGAGGCGGAGGTCCCATCGGCCTCTGCCCGAACTGCATTGGTGGTGGTCCCGGGAATTGCTGCGGCGGGCCCGGCCCACCAGGCCTAGCAAACTGCGGAGGAGGCACCCCAGGCGGCGGGCCCCGCACCATTTGCGGCGGCCCCTGTCCAGGGTACGGAGCCATCTGACCTGGAGGTGGCCGAATCACCGGCGCAGCCGGGTAGGACATGGGCGGCGCGGACATCTGGGGCGGCCGAGAAATCTGAGGCTGCATCATGCCGGGGGCGGGCCCGCCGACGCCGCGAACCGGGCCGGAGAGACCTGGCTGGGCTTGGGCGAGCGGGGCGGTTGGGATGCCACGACCGGCGGCCCGGCCGATTCCGGGGCCTGCTAAGGCGGCGGCGCTGGCGGCCTTGGCGCGGGACTCTTCCTGGGGAGGTGGGCCCTCGACGGTCATGGAGACAACCTCTTCGCCGCGGAGGAGGACGAGGCCTAGGGTTCGGCGGTCGTCGCGTTCCTCGTTCTTGTTGCCTTTGAGAGGAGGGAGCTTGCGGAACTCCTCGCAGTCGCCGAGGACGAGGTTCATGTGGCGGTCGAAGGCCATGAACTTACCGACGAGCTGACGACCGTCCTGGATCGTCACCCTCATGCGGTAGTTTATGAATTGCAGCATCTTGGAGCTCTTCGACATCGACATTGTGACGATGGCTCGTGAGGTCCGAAATCACTACTTACTGTGCTTCCCAGGGTTCAGGGTTTTTAGATTTTAGGTTTTAGGTTTTAGGTTTTTGGATTTTGATTTTGATTTCTAAACGACGGTTGAATTGAAGATGCGCCTGCCTGTAGTATTTTAATATTTAGGACTAAGCAGCTATCTTTGCTTGAAAAATTTGGTCGTCTTTTTGGATTGGGCTTGGTTACAAACTGATTGGGCTTATGCCTAAAAAGCCCTTTACAGTAAAACAGTGGGAATGAATTGTTGTGTTTGTTATAACTTATATGCAGGTTTCCCAGTTGGGATTTGGGTGTATGGGGCTTACTGGAATCTATAATGCTCCAGTCCGTGAAGAGTTTGGAATATCAATCATCAAGTACGCATTCGATAACGGAATTACGTTCTTTGATACATCAGATGTTTATGGGCCTCATGCTAATGAAGTTTTGATTGGAAAGGTAAATTCTGCTCCCAATGCCTTATTCTTTTCAAGCTGGTTCCAAATGACAATATAAATCACAATTGAACATGGAGGGAAAGCCATAGCAGTTAAAAGGTGCAATTTTTCTTACACAGGCAAACCTCACTCACTACTGATAACTTGCTTTGCATGTTGATATGCTTGCATTGTAGGCCATTCTATGTTTTCTCTTGTGACTTGTTGAGAGGACTTCACTTAGTATTTGTATTTGGAGTGTTTCAGGCATTGAAGCAGTTGCCTCGAGAGAAGGTTCAGTTGGCTACAAAGTTCGGCATTGTAAACTTTGAATCTACTCAAGTTGTAGTAAATGGCACTCCAGAATATGTTCGCTCGTGTTGCGAGGCCAGCCTCAAGCGCCTTGGTGTTGGCTACATTGATCTTTACTATCAGCACCGGATCGATACAACAGTCCCCATAGAGGACACTGTAAGTGTTACCTATTTTCCCTCCCATTTTAAAGTGCAAAGTTCATTTTTCTCTTTTGTTTTCTAAATCATGACAGATGAGCAATTTGAAGTTGAAGATTCGCTTCAACCCTTTACTAGTAGCAGTGGTGTTGGGATTTCTCAACTTTTTTATTGAACTATTTATACTTGCTATTGTAGATGGAGGAACTAAAGAAGCTGGTGGAAGAGGGGAAAATAAAGTACATTGGATTATCTGAAGCTAGTCCAGACACAATAAGGAGGGCACATGCAGTTCATCCCATTGCTGCTATACAAATGGAGTGGTCCCTTTGGACTCGCGAAATTGAGGACGAAATTGTCCCACTTTGCAGGTAACCCTCATCTTATATACCAATTCCAAAAAATCTGTGCAGAAACCAAACATGCTTTCATACAACTATACCAATTTACAGCTTCCATTAAACTTTTATACCAGTCTACTTTTGAGAGGAGTTCTGCATGATTTCTGTGCTGCTTGCTTTGGTTGGCAGTGTTTTTGGAATCCCCAGTGCTGTACATCGTGTATAGGATTAGTTGTATTTAGTGAAAACGATGAATCAAAATAATGAAAAGTTTGTTGTGCTTGTTCGAGCTTAGGGAACTTGGAATTGGGATTGTCCCATACTGCCCTCTTGGTTCTGGATTTTTTGGTGGCAAGGCAATTGTGGAAAGTGTACCTGCAAATAGTTTTCTGGTAACCTATCAAGTTCTTTCATTCTAATTACTATATGATAAAGAGCATCTTGCTCAGATTGATGCAAGCCCTTCAATTTGTTAGTTTCCTGTTGTTGGTTATGATAATAAGCTTGCTATTGATTTGGAAAATCATTTTGTTATCAGGAATATGGACATCCTCGTTTTCAAGCAGTAAACCTTGAGAAAAACAAGATCCTTTATGGTAGAATACAAAAGTTGGCTAAAAAGCATAGATGCAGCACTGCACAACTCGCCCTTGCATGGATTCGCAGTCAAGGTGATGATGTCGTACCGATCCCTGGTACGTTCCCCTTTCGTTCCTGATCTGCCTCAGTCATCTAATGTGTTATTCGTACTTTGCGCACCTGTGATAATAAGTTCACTCTAGTCTGATGCATTACGAACCAATATCAGAATCATGACATTTTGCTGACCTCTCCTTGTGTTTTTGTAGGGACAACTAAGATAAAAAATCTTGATGATAACATTGGCTCCTTCTCAGTGAGACTCACCAAAGAAGATATAAAAGAGATTTCTGATACAATACCTCTGGATGCGGTGGCAGGGAAAAATGTAGCTGATAATTTTATTAGCTGCTCCTGGAAGTTTGCAAATACACCAGCAAAAGAACATCTTAGATAGATGTTTGCATATGCAATCTGGTCTGCAAATTTCCTGTAAGAATTTGTAATCCTGCTACAACTGAGAGCAGCAAATAATCGTAAAAAACCACTGATACTGCTACATCATACATGTGTGTTACTTATCTGATTCTGATTTTGGTTTGCAATGCAATTGAACTTCTTTGATGCATTTATGGATGTGAATAAAGTGCCAATATTTCAGCATAATTTGTTAGTGGACCAAAAATGAATTTTCCAGTTTTTGTGCTAGATCAATTTGTGGGAAGAGGGAGAGAATGAATATGTGGGGGAAAGGGAGATGCAAACAAAAAATTTGAAAAAAGATGACTTCTTGTTGGAGTCAAGAAGTCAACGTTACTTCTTTGACGCAGGTCAAAAACTTTTGGTATCCTACCTTGACTGTGTGAGGTGAGGTGTCAATTCCTGGCCAATTGATATATACAATAGCGGCGTGGCAAGCTCACATTTAAAACCAAGCAAAAGCCAGCACAGAACTTCGTAGCAGAGAATCAAAATCCCATAAAATAACGATAAACTGTTTTGGCTGGTCTTGAACTCATGCAAGCACCGAATGGGGAGGAAAAAGACAAAGACTTGGGAGTGAAAACGAAGAAGAAGAAGAAGCAGAAGCAGAAATGGCTGAAGAGCAGAGATGCCAGATTCCAAGAGTGCAATTGGGAAGTGAGGGATTCGAGGTGAAACCCATTTCAGATCCTTTATTTTAAGTTTCAAACACTCAACATATTATTATCACAAGGTTTTTTAGATTAGGTGTTTAGATTGGCACTGGTTGCATTGGATTGGTTCCGAATAAAAGCATTGCTTGTTTCACTTTCACAATGAATGTTTGTAAGTTGTAAATACATTTGTTTTGCAGGTTTCCAAGTTGGGATTTGGGTGTACGGGGCTCACTGGAATCTGCAATGAGGCTCCAGTCCCTGAAGAGCTTGGGATATCAATCATCAAGTACGCGTTCGCTAAAGGAATAACATTCTTTGATACATCAGATGTTTGTGGACCGCATACTAATGAAGTTTTGATTGGAAAGGTTAGTCTGCTCCCCAATGGTATTTTTCAAGGTGGTTCATCTCATAAGAACATTCAGTGCTGGATTTTGTGGTGTGGTGTGACTTGTTAGAGGACTTAAAATTTAGCATTTAAGTGTTTCAGGCATTGAAGCAGTTGCCTCGAGATAAGGTTCAGTTGGCTTCAAAATTTGGTGTTGTAAAATTTGAGCCTAATCAAGTTGTTGTAAATGGCACTCCTGAATATGCCCGCTCCTGCTGTGAGGCTAGCCTGAAGCGCCTCGGCGTGGACTACATTGATCTTTACTACCTGCACCGGATAGACACATCAGTCCCCATAGAGGACACTGTAAGCCCTCTTTTTATGGCAATCTGAAGTGTTTTTCCTTTTCAGTTTCTCTGTTTTTTTCTTTCTCTAAATCATCATAGTGTCCAACAGTTGGAAGTTGTGGATTTACTCCAATTCAACTCTTCCTTGTAGCAGAGGAATTGGGATTTCTGTACTTCTTGGAATTTTAATTAAACTATTAATCCTTGCTATTTTCGTAAGGGTAGATGGAGGAGCTAAAGAAGCTGGTGAAAGAGGGGAAAATAAAGTACATTGGATTATCTGAAGCTAGCCCAGACACAATAAGGAGGGCACATGCAGTGCATCCCATAACTGCTATACAAATGGAGTGGTCCCTTTGGACTCGTGAAATTGAGGAAGAAATTATCCCACTTTGCAGGTAGAGCTTTAAACATGTTTGGATTTGATACATACTCATTCTTTTGCTGGTAGAGGATCCTGCACCAAGTTCCTGTCAAATGAAGCTTGCTTTCGCAATTTCATTTTAATCCTTCTTCTTCTTGTACAAAAAATGATTAATGTGCAGAAACTCTGTTGTGTATGTTGGACCATAGGGAACTCGGAATTGGTATAGTGCCATACAGCCCTCTTGGTCGTGGATTTTTCGGTGGCAAGGCAGTTATCGAAAGTTTACCTGCAAATAGTTTCCAGGTAACCTATGTTAGAGATTTTATGCATCTCCTTAAATTCAAGACAGCTGCAAATTTCTTCTAGTTGCTTATGAACTATGAGAATAAGCTTGGTTATTTGAAGGCCAATCAATTTGTAACCAGGTATCAAATCCTCGTTTTCAAGGAGACAACCTTGAGAAAAACAAGATCCTTTATGGTAAAGTAGAAAAGTTGGCTGAAAAGCATGGATGCACCTCTGCACAACTCGCGCTTGCATGGATTCTTAATCAAGCTGATAATGTGGTACCTATCCCCGGTGCGTGCGTGCGTGCCCCTTTCCTTATTGCATGTACATGATGTTAAAGGCAATTTCTGTTACTTTTTCTTCATTTTATCTTTGTGTAAACTGGGCAAACTGATCTCTACTTGTGTGTTTTGTAGGGACAACTAAGACAAAAAATCTTGATGCTAATATTGGTTCCTTGATCGTGAAACTCACTAGGGAAGACATAAAAGAGATTTCTGATATGATACCTGTCGACGCGGCGGCAGGGGATAGAGTTTCTGATAGTCTCATTCGCTGCTCATGGAAGTTTGCAAATACACCACCAAAACCTGGCAAAACACCATTTTGATGTTGTTGATTCTTAAACGTTTGCATATGCAATTATCACTATGATTTTGAGTTGGGTTGGCAACGCTAATATTCAGCATCATAATAAAGATCATATTGATCGAAGGTCCATTTTGAAATTGTAACACTCATGAACAAGAACAAAGGTCCGGGACTAATTTTCCCAGTAACAGTTGCAAATTCTTCCCATTAACAGTAACTAATTTTCCCATTTTGAAAGTAACTTGAAACTTTCATGAAACTAAGAAACTTATTCCTTTATAATATTGACAGAAAAGATTGACACAGATTTGAAACTTCAGATCACATTCAAGAGTTTTAGTAGAGACTTCTGCAGACCAATGACATACTCAGTGATCTAAAAGAAAGAATGATGTAAGCAATGACGATAAGAAATCATTTTAATGTTAAATAAAATAACAATTACCATGTACCTTTAAATAGGCTCGCTCTCTATTCTCTGTCTGAACTCACGGAAGTTGCAATCTCCAACTTGAGCACCAATTAGGGAGTAAAAAGATTGAAGTGAAACAAAGAAGAAGAAGCGGAATGGCTGAGGAGCAGATAATTCAAATTCCCAGAGTACAACTGGGAAGTCAGGGTTTTGAGGTAAAACCCATTGCTGATCTTTGAATTCAAGTTTCAGTAGCAGCAAGAAAAATCAAAACTTTGTGGTTACCTTGTATTTCTTCGTTACTTTCTTCTGTTATATGTGTGTTTTTCAGCATAAACTTAAAACCCAATGTACTAGAAGCAAGCACATAGTGTATAGACGGACCAATGTCAACAAAAAAACTTGTTCTTTCACAGTCATCGGGCTTCAACAATCAACATAGATCACAGCAGAAAACAAGAATAAGAACCTCTCAAGGCTTCCCTGTTTTCTGGGTTTTTAGATTAGGTGTTTAGTTTTTCAAAGATTGAGCTCTATTTGTGGTTATTGACTCTGGTTTAACATTTCTGCCATTTAATTATGTTATTTACTCCCCTCCAATTCCAAACAAAAGGTGGTTTTGTTTAACATTGATTTGTTGTAAATAGAAATTTCATTTCTTGTGCAGGTTTCCAAGTTGGGATTTGGGTGCATGGGGCTTACTGGAATCTATAACGCTCCAGTCCCTGAAGAGCTTGGCATATCAATCATCAAGTACGCGTTCAATAGAGGAATAACATTCTTTGATACATCAGATGTATATGGACCGCATACTAATGAAGTTTTGGTGGGAAAGGTAAGTCTGCTCCCAAATAGTCTTTCCATAATTCCAAGGTTTTTCACCTAGTCACACGCGTTATGCCCAGAATAACCCTTTGGAGCCTAGCTTATATGCCATCTGATTAGAACATTCAGTGTTGGATCTTACTAGCTCTCGACAATGAACTAAGGGACTGGAACCATCTAATAAGCCCACTACCTGTTAACTTGCCTTATACGTTGGTCTGCTTTTGTTGTTGGTCATTTATGTTGTCTTCTGTTTAACTTCAGGCATTGAAGCAGTTACCTCGAGATAAGGTTCAATTGGCAACAAAGTTTGGTATTGTTAAAATTGAAAACACTCGAGTGGTTGTAAATGGCACTCCTGAATATGTCCGCTCCTGCTGTGAAGCTAGCCTGAAGCGCCTTGGTGTGGACTACATTGATCTTTACTATCAGCACCGGATAGATACAACTGTCCCCATAGAAGACACTGTAAGTGTTACCTATTTTCCCCCACATTTAAGTGTAATCTTAAGCCTTTTTTCTCTTCTTTTTGTTCATTTTTTGGTTAGTTCTTCTCTTTTTTCTTAATCATGACCCAACCGTCTGAAGTTGTAGATTTGCTTCAACCCTTTTGGTGTGGGACTTCTCAGTGTCTTGGTTCTTTATTAACTTTTAATACTTACAATTGTTGCAAGGACAGATGGAGGAATTGAAAAAGTTGGTGAAAGAGGGAAAAATAAAGTACATTGGACTATCTGAAGCTAGCCCAAACACAATAAGGAGGGCACATGCAGTTCACCCCATAACTGCTATACAGATGGAGTGGTCCCTTTGGACTCGCGAAATTGAGGAAGAAATCATCCCACTTTGCAGGTAACCTCAGTTTAAATTTCAAAGTTCTGTGCAAAAACCAAAGTCAGAAATGAAGCATTGCTACATGTTTCAATAAAGCACTCAATTTACATGCTTCCATCTAATTTATCTACCAGTCTACTTATGAGAGTTGGTGTTCTGGGGGATTTCTATGCTGTATTCCTTAGTCACGCTTCAGTCGGCAGTGCCTTTGAGGTCCCCAGTAGCACTTGTACTTAGTTGTATCCAGTGAACAAAATAAGAAGTTTAACCTTGCACTCAAAAGGGAAAAAGGACATTGAATTGGAGGTTACACAACATATATCCTCAAATTTTTTTGTGTTAGAGGGTGCACTGTATGTTTCTTGTTGCACTAAAGGAAGCTGTTAGCATTTATTCTCAATACTGCTTTCACAATTTGCATGCACGCTTATTTGTCTTGTATAAATAATGATCAGTGTGTGTGTTGACATAGGGAACTTGGAATTGGAATAGTGCCATACAGCCCCCTGGGTCGTGGATTTTTTGGTGGCAGGGGAGTGGTGGAAAGTATACCTGCAAATAGTTTTCTGGTAACCTACGCCACTCAGAGATTTCATGTATTAGCTTTTCAATTCTAAATATTATATGATAAAGAGCATCTCATTCAGACAGCTGCAATGCAAGCCTGGAATTTGTTCCAGTAGCACTTGTACTTAGTTGTATCCAGTGAACAAAATAAGAAGTTTAACCTTTCACTCAAAAGGGAAAAAGGAAATTGAATTGGAGGTTACACAACATATATCCTAAAAAAAAAATTGTGTTAGAGGGTGCACTGTATTTTTCTTGTTGCACTAAAGGAAGCTGTTAGCATTTATTCTCAATACTGCTTTCACAATTTGCATGCACGCTTATTTGTCTTGTATAAATAATGATCAGTGTGTGTGTTGACATAGGGAACTTGGAATTGGAATAGTGCCATACAGCCCCCTGGGTCGTGGATTTTTTGGTGGCAGGGGAGTGGTGGAAAGTATACCTGCAAATAGTTTTCTGGTAACCTACGCCACTCAGAGATTTCATGTATTAGCTTTTCAATTCTAAATATTATATGATAAAGAGCATCTCATTCAGACAGCTGCAATGCAAGCCTGGAATTTGTTAATTTTCTCTTGTTGCTCATTTGGTGGCCAATCAATTTGTTATCCCAGGCATCAAATCCTCGTTTGATTGGAGACAACTTTGAGAAAAACAAGGTCCTTTATGGTAACGTAGGAACGTTGGCTGAAAAGCATGGATGCACCCCTGCACAACTTGCCCTTGCTTGGGTTCTTAATCAGGGTGATGGTGTGGTACCTATCCCTGGTGAGTGCCCTTTTCCTTCCTATATAACCTGCCTTATTAGTCGCATAATGTGCTGTGTCAAATAATGGAAAAGGGAAACCACTGGTGGAGATTACTTAATAAGAGCAAAGTACCTTGATCAATGTTTACTGTTGGACAAATCTCTTTTCTTCTTTCTATAACAAATTAAAACTAAGGATACTTACCTCTCCTTGTGGTTTTGTAGGGACAACTAAGATAAAAAATCTTGATACTAATATCGGTTCCTTGGGAGTGAAACTCACTGAAGAAGATGTACAAGAGATTTCTGATATGATACCCATCAATGCGGCGGCAGGGGAAAGAATAGTTGAGAGTTTTATTACCTGCTCATGGAAGTTTGCAGATACACCAGCAAAAGAGAGCACAATACTATCTTAGAAATGCTTGCGTAGCCAATCGGGCCTGCATATTTTTTCTTGTAACAGAGAATGTGATGAGATGTTGCTTGTGTGTATTTTTATTATTAATAAGACTGTGATATTGGTTTCCAATGCAATTGCAAGTTCTGTGGTGAATGCTGCTCACTTCTGTTGGGATGCCTGAGGTTTTTCATAAATATAGATAGATACTTGGATAAATAAGTAAACCTCCGTGTAAAAGCTAAAATCCATGGGCACCTACCTCAACGTGACATGGGGGCTTGAAACTGGAAGCATCCATGGAAGGACAGGCTTTAAAATTACAAGCACAATTGCCCGGTTGTTCTTATAGTGAGACATAACCTGCTTCATCATCAAGTCGAGAAAAATAGAGGAATTCGGATGGGGTGGTGATTTTCTCACTCCCCTTTTATTCACTTACACTCCTTTTTGTTTTTTTATTACTTTTTACTATAAAATAAAAGGGAGTGTAAGTGAACAAAATAGGAGTGAGAACATACAATTTTAAAAAAATGGAGTGTAAGTGGATAAAAAAGGAGTGGGAAAATCAACACTCATTTGGATATTTCTGGTTCAATTAGGAGCGAAGTGGTGATATTTCTAGTAAAATCATTTAACCTGAAAAGAGTAAGTATCAAAGCACCAGTGGTCTAGTGGTAGAATAGTACCCTGCCACGGTACAGACCCGGGTTCGATTCCCGGCTGGTGCATTTCTTTTGTCGTTTTTACCTTCATATCCAATTGCAATGGTTAGAAAATAGAGTGGTTGGAGATAAGTGGTCATCTGGGCACCAGTGGTCTAGTGGTAGAATAGTACCCTGCCACGGTACAGACCCGGGTTCGATTCCCGGCTGGTGCATTCCCTTTTTTTAATTTTTCCTTCTTCGGGCCCAATGAAGCTAGATGGATCATGGTTGGATTGGATGGATGAAGACAAACAAATCAAGGACTTGAGGGTTAAATTGGGCGGTCAAGTCAAGGACTTGAGGGGTAAATCTCACATTCCAATTTCATCTCCTTTTATTCCAATTTCAGCTTTGGCTGTGCTCAAATCAGATATTTTCAAGATCCCACCACCTTCATAATTTAAGAAAAGTTGACTTGTTGGGAGCAAAAAAACAATCAAAAGTTCGTGCAGTGTGATTGAATTTTCTTGAGCTGTAATTGTAGCAGAGTTGACCCTCAGACCCTGTTATAAATTGACACGGGGAGTCATGTCCACTGAAGAATGACATATTATTATATGTATTTTCAGTTGCCAGAATTGCCCGGAGATTATAACACAGCAGCGCCAGCCAGTAATGTCAATGCAAAGACTAGTCTAGGCATATAGAAAGAATAACTGGTGTGCCCAACTCCAATCCTAACACGGCGTAGACTTTGCAGTGCTTATTTACCCTATCCTATCCTATCCTGCTTGCATTTTGGGATCAATCAAAACAAACAAACGACACTATGGCTGAGGACAAGGCAGTAGAGATCCCAAGAGTTCAACTTGGAAGTCAGGGATTTGAGGTATTGTATTCATCCATTTAGAACACTATGGTTGATTTAGATGCTTAGTTTCTTCCAATTTTTACTGTTTTGTTTCAAAATCTCTGACCTCCTTGTTCATCATCAGGTCTCAAAACTGGGGTTTGGATGCATGGGCCTGAGTGGGGTCTACAACTCTCCTGTCCCTGAGGAGGATGGTATCTCCATAATAAAACATGCCTTCAGTAAAGGAATCACTTTCTTTGACACAGCTGATGTATATGGACCCCACTTGAATGAAATTCTTCTTGGCAAGGTTTGTATTTCCACTTTCTTTGACACACACACACACCTGATTGATTAATTCGTGGTAGATATAATTCACAAAGAAGCAGACTATTAGCTAAAAATGTGTGTGTGTTTTTATAATGAAGGCTTTGAAGCAGTTGCCAAGGGAAAAAGTTCAAGTGGCCACAAAGTTTGGTATTACTGGAAGACGTGATCCTCCTGGAATTACAGTGAAGGGCACTCCTGAGTATGTCCGCTCATGCTGTGAGGCTAGCCTCAATCGTCTTGGCGTCGACTACATTGATCTGTATTATCAGCACCGGGTGGACACGACGGTGCCTATAGAGGAAACCGTATGTGATTCTCTTCCTCATTCAGCTACAGCACCACAACTGAATAATATTGGAAGTGCTTTTACATAGCTTCTTGTAGAAATAGTTGGGGGTTGGCTGGAAAATATTGATTAGATACTTTTGTTTTTCCTGGAGTTTAGGTAGGTGAGCTCAAGAAACTGGTGGAAGAAGGAAAAGTAAAGTATATTGGGTTGTCTGAAGCCAGCCCGGACACAATAAGGAGGGCACATGCAGTTCATCCCATCACGGCTTTACAAATTGAGTGGTCCCTCTGGACTCGTGATATTGAGGAAGAGCTTATTCCAGTTTGCAGGTATGTTCAAAATCCACTTTCAACCCTGAATTGCTTCCCTATTTTCCATTTTTGTAAGGGGAAAAAAAAGAGGGGAATGCTTCCCTTCTACTTGTGCAAAAATGATTGCAGTTACTTAAACGCTTGTGGAATGTTCTCAAAGTGTGTCTATAATAACTCTAATTTGTGTCAATTATTTTGTTCAATGTTGTCACATACAGGGAGCTTGGCATTGGAATAGTTCCATATAGTCCTCTTGGTCGTGGTTTTTTCGGAGGCAGAGGAGTTGTGGAAAGTGTGGCTCCAAATAGTTTTGTGGTAGGTTGTTCTTCATAATCTTTTTCCGTTATAGAAGTAAATGTAGGTTCTGCAGAGTAACAAAAAACTGAGAGAGAAGAGTTTGATTCTAATCTTGGTTTTTTCTTTGGTATTATGTCACAAAATCATATGTTAACTCAAAAACCTAGCAGTTCAGTAGTTTTGTGAAAATTGTGCAGTTCTTGTCTTCTGTTTTTTGTGTCTCACTTTTTTATGCAGTTGAAGTACAAAACTACGGGTTCAGGATGTCTGGATTTTACAACTACAAATTTGAAGTATGTTCTTTTTCTGTGTATGAAAACTAATTTTGGTTGCTTGAATCTTGTCCATTTTTCTTTTCTGCGCCAGGCCAACCATCCTCGGTTTGTAGGAGAGAACTTAAACAAGAACAAGGAAATTTACCATCGAATAGAAAGCCTTGCTAAAAAGCATCAAACCTCTCCTGTTCAACTAGCACTATCATGGGTTCTCCACCAAGGAAATGATGTTGTGCCTATCCCGGGTGAGTCTCCATTACATCTTTGTCCTCTTCAACCTAAATTGATTTATAACTGGCATGAAATCAATCAAGATCTTTTAAGATCAGGGTTTGAATTTTTGAGCTTTTACCAGCATTTGTTTGCTCATGAAATCAATCAAGAAACATTGTTTCTGTCCGTTGACACATTGTCCATTTGGTTGTGAATTTCCACTGCAGGGACAACAAAGATTAAGAACCTGGATTCAAACATGGGCTCCTTAGGGGTGAAACTCAAGGTAGAAGACCTGAAAGAAATTTCTGATGCTGTACCAATCGACCAAGTCGCCGGTGATAGCAATAGCGGAATCCTGATGCAGTGGCAATGGAAGCTCGCCAACACTCCTCCAAAACATTCAAAGTCTGAGCTTTAAGACATGGACACTTTTCCATCTGAGTCTTGGGACTTCAATGATAATGTACTTTGTTCAATTGATTGCAAATACTGTAGACAAACCCTATCACCAATAAATTCCACTACAATTAATTGCTCTCATACCCTTTTCCTCTTCTTTTTTTTTTTTTCTTTTCAAAGTCCATTTTCTTGACTTTTTTAAATTTGTATTTATGGCTTTTAGGTTGTTGGATCAAGTATAAATATATAAAAGGGTATAGCCGGGCGGCTATACTGCTAAAATGTATTTGAATATTTAAATAGTATAGCCGGGCGGCGATACTGTTCAAATGTATTTGAATATTTAAAGTGTATAGCCGCCCGGCTATACCGTTAAATATATTCCAATATTTAAAGAGGCTATACGTTTTAATATATTCAATATCTAAATTTCTATAAAATATATTCAAATATTCAAACAGTATTGCAGTTGCAGATATTATCAACGGAGTCGCGTAATACTGTGGACAAAACAATCACCAATAAATTCTACTATAATTTATAGCTCTCATACCGCTTTCTTTTTTTTTTCTTTTTTTAAAGTACAAGCGATAGTATAAACTATAGGGAAGGGAGATTCGAACCTAGAACCTCTGGTCTGCAAGTGAATGCCCTTTTTCACTAGGCTAAACCTTGTTGGCATACCCTTTTCCTCTTATTGTGTTGTACCACATGTTCAGTCAATGTCCTAAAGGGTTAGAGATCTTGTTTAAAAATAATTCTAGACTCCGTTGACGTAGGCACAACTATAATTTAGTACATGTATACGATGCCCCATTGAGTGATTTGGGCTTTTTAATGAGATTTTGGGGCTGGGTTTGTTTTAAGAAATCAATGGCAGTTTTGTAATTTAAAAGAAGTTAAAAACCTTTTTGATATGTTGTAAATGAGCTTTGAGTAGTGTTTCTAAAATCCATTTCATATAGGGTTTTTTTTATAATTTGGGCTCTTATATTGGGTATAATAGTGAATCTCCCTTATTTATTTTGTTTTGTACATCATATATGTTTAGGGATGGCAAAAATCCCCGTGGGGACGGGTCCCCGACCCTAACGGGGGGAGATTTCGGGGCCAAACAGGTATCGGATACGGGGATCCCCGAACTTGAAAAATCCCCAACGGGTATGGAGAGGGGATGGTATTGGCGTCCCCATCCCCGAACCCGACCCGAAAATGTATATGTTTATATTTAAATAAATAAATATATAATTATAATATTTATGTTTAACCCTAAGTTAACCTCCCTCTCCTAATTCTTCCTAATCTTCTCTGGATTTTCATATTGATGTGATTTTGAATAGTTGAGTATATTGATGTGATTTTGAATAGTTGAGTTGAACTTTATAGTTAATTTGAATGTGTTGAATGATAATTTAATATGAAACTTAATGTTAAAATGTATGATAAATATTTTTTATGCAAAAAAATCGGGGATTCGGGCCGGGTATGGGGGATAGTCCCCCGACGGGGATGGGGATGGGGATTCCCCGAAACTAATTAAACGGGGATTGGTTCGGGGATGGGGGCGGGGATGGAGAGGTGGAGGGTCAGATATGGTACAAACACATCTAAGGCTTTTTACCTAGATTGACCATAGTTCCTTCATGCATTCATATCATACATGAAAAATTGTTTTATGTAAAAATATTGACTAAGTATGAAAAATGGGTTTTTGGAGTAATCATTTTCTGAAGATAATTTTTGGCGGCTTTTATTCCTCACACATCAAATAAGAAAACTTGATTTTATGGGATTTTAGTATGAAGTATATATTGACTTAATGAGCCATCATTTTTAGCCTAAATCGTATTTTGCACTAAAACCGATTTTTCATATTTTGATTTGGTAGGAATTTGATTTTCTAGTATTTTTATTTGAATCCAAATGGGGGGTACTTCCTTATTTACATTGTAAACTTAAGTAATTGGAGTAATATAAAAATAAATAAAAGTAAAATGACAAAGACATTTACTTAAATGTTGAAAGTGGAAATAAGGTAATCTATACATTGCCACTAACTGGGCTAATATTGAAAATAAGTTAAATATATAAGTTTTATATTTTTTTCTTAAAAAACCACACTGGGCTACTGCCCACTGTAGCCCTTAGTGTGGTTCCGCCCTTGATCTTATGAAACTCTATCAACATAATATTTTCCCCATTGATTTATTTATTGAGATATTTAGTCATATACCCATTTTTAGCACTAATATTATAAATAAACTCTACACCATTTAATTTCTATAAACAAACCCAAAAAACACCCAACAAATGATAGCTGGCCCTATTGAATTTAATTTTGATTATTAAATTACTTTGATGCCCCATTGAGTGATTTGGGCTTTTTTATGAGAT